TATGTTGCGCGTTCCTGAGTATAACCCCGAAACGGAACAGCACCGGAAACTCTCCGAGTTACCCCGTATTTAATTTCCATCTGTTTTGAGATTTCAAGCCATCACTTCATTAATCTCCTACCTCACTTTATAAAACCCAAACTATGGTCCTGGAGAGTATCCCATCTTCATGAGACCTTTTTTGGAAGCGAAGGAAGTGGCCGGGCTGGTTCGCCGGCAACACCATTGCCAAAACTTTACAGTTACTTATGGTCTCCAGGAATCACCATCACCTTATGATGGATGCTGCAATCCACAAAAGCACTAGGGTTCAGAATGTTCTCGAATCTTTCTACTGGTTGAGTCTGGTGTGTACTGCAAATAATCTATGTCATCTGCCAATTATTGGATCGGTACAGCCCTGCACTATTGCAGATGTATTATAGGGGAATTGTCGAAAGCACATTCTATATTTTCTCTGTGAGTTTCCTCTCCTGCTATTTGAACCACATTGATCAATTTGGAAGGCACGGTATCCAGTGGTAGTGATCATTTTAATAAGCAAAACTGCCTCTCCTGAAATCGAAACCTTCCATAATACCCATATCCAGACTGGAGCAGGCAGTAGGGAAGGTCATATTCCAGATAAAATTCCCCTGCCAGGCTCTGGGAGGGCCACATTGGAGGAGATCTGATGTAGTATTTTGATCACTTTGTTTAGGGGAGGAACTTGTGTTAGAAAATAGGCTTGCTCTGTTGTAGAAAACATCAGAGAGAGGCTCAAGAATAGGAAGAATGAATCATACTACTGTGGCATTTTGAGCACTTCGTAAGGGGTGGGACAGTGGGACAAATCATATGAAATTTATTTTTCATAAGCGCCTGTTGGAGGCTGGGACATCAAGGAATTTATGAAATTTATCTACTATAAAAGGCTAAGCGTCCACAGCCCCCTGGGAAAAAATTCGTAAGAGCTTGATTGGACACTGGACAGGGTGGGACATTTCATTTCGTAAGATGCCCTGCGGACACAGGACATGTGAAGTGCTTAAAATGGGACAGTATGCTGTTAAATATGCAGCATTTAAATTTTAAATTAGACAGAATATCAAATTTAAGAACAAGTATGAAAAATTTGAAGTACAGTGGAATACATATGAGAAAGCAAAAGTAAGCGGAACAGCCAAGCAATCATTACCCGGAGACCAATATTTCTAATCAACTCGGCAAAATCAAATCAATGCTTCATTTTTGCTTGCAAGCCTTTGGGATATGTTGCTTGCAGTTCAAAATATTTCTTGCGGGGTACAGACAAGTGATCATTTACACGCAGAGTAACACAATGGCCGACTTGGTGACAGGAAATCGGTATGCAAATTAGATTACACCCATGGATCCCATACCTTACCCAGGGTCTGCAGCCCCGAGCCAAGTCTGACTCAAAGTCTTGTCTCTCAATTGCATTCACAGTTCCTGATATGATCGTGTCAACCGAGACCAAATCCTATATGGAAATTGCATTATAGTCCTGAATGATATTCAGAAATGATTGATGCTGATGAAAATAAACTTACTGGCTGAATTGTGCTGCTAGGACATCTTACCGGCAACCCTCATTACCAAGGCGACTAGATTGACAAAACACTGCATGCAGATTTTTGCCACTTATTATAAACTTCAAATGAAAAATAGATACAAATAAATTTGTATGAAGGGAAATTTCTCACAACTTTTAATGTAGGTTTTCTATAAGTTTACCATTTGAGGTGGTAACTTATGAGAATTTGCATGCAATGAAATGTTGGGGTGTATCATGGATTCATTCAAATCCAATTCATTTTCATACTTAGATCAATTCAGCAGCCGGCTTGAAGAGCTTAAGAATACACTATCATATTTGCTGAATGGAAATATCATTCTTGTCGGACATGATGAGTACGGGCACTGAGATGGGATATGAAGATAAGCATTGCTTCAAGCCGAGTATTGCCAAGGCGCATGAGATATTCCGAAAACTTTGATATGGTCTAGCTTGCCTGTCCTTCGGGAGTTGCCTTGCCGTCCGAGTTGATTCGAGAGATCAAAGATCCACAGATAGCATCACAGTAGACGCCTATGTACTTGATATGGACTAAAGTTAGCTGCCTTTTTGGGGATAAAGTAAACGTCGTTGAAGGATGAACCACCAGGGATTGATGGGGTAGCTTGTTTTGGAACTTGTATACGAAGCACTGTGAGGCAGACTCTTTGAAGGGGGTTCGAGCGAAGTAGTATGAGTTGTACATATAGCTAACCGGAATCCAAGTGTTGAATGATGCTGTGACAGGTTAACAAAGCGTATTCGGAAATAGGAACACCGCGATAATCGATCAGCGCTTACTATTGTAACTGGTTACTGGTATAAAAGCTACCGTTGTAAGCTGCGATCACGTACCGCAGATACCAAAAATTGAATGGGTACGCGGACACTCCAGTGTACATGGGAACGACGAAGCTGATATTCCGGCGAATGAGGGCAGAGAGAAAGCGCGACCGGACCTAATCGACCTATCGGTCAAGGGAAATTACCGGCTGTCAGGTTTAAAACTAAATAAGATAACCCAATCACAAGCCCTCCGACGAAAGAAGGTGGCGCGACCGCGGTAGTAACAGGAGCAACTAGCCTGAAGTTTCACCAGAACCAATCTGCGTAGGTCCGGGCTCGCGGAGATATAAGCGGCGCAACACCTATGGAAGAACCTAGAAGCATATATGGAAGTCAGTTTGTTATTTCTTACGGATGATTGTACACGATGGGAAATTCCTGGTTGAATGTATATATACACTCATACCTGGATTCGAGACACGAAGCCTTTGCCAGTACCTCAGAATCAATGGAGCACATGTTATTTGAATGCACCTGCCGTGGTCAACAGGAAGTATGGAAGCTGGTTGGACGACTTTGGAGAAGACAAAAGACAACCTCGGTCAAACTTAACCTAGGGATTTTTTTGCGTCTGTATATCGTTGCACCTCTTTCTGCTCAAAAATGAGACGACCCCGAAGGGGCCATTTGTCGTTGGCTAAGTCACTAGAGCATTGTTAGAGCGGTTCGAACGCGTGCGATTGGAACAAAAAAGATGCACAGCCTCGCCTCGGGCATCCTCGGTCTTTGTCCGATCTAAATCCACGTAGCCTCTATCTCTCATCTCCCTCTAGAAGGTCATCCAAATCGCCTCCCATTTCAATTTGAACGGCCATCGGGGAATTGATTGACAGAATAGACGCAGTGGAGCGAACAAGATACTTGGTTGTGGAGCCAATCGACGGAAAGCTGAGGATGTTGGATTCTGGTAATACTTAACGCATAGCCTTGGTGGTTCTAGGTTCGCTGGGTCTCGCTGTTTGATATACGAGACGCCGTACAGGCTATAACGAAGAAGAGAAGACTCGTTGTAGCACTGTGGAAAGGGAGCAACTGAGGCAATTCCGGTGACTTGTTACGGAATAATTCCCCATTCCTTCCTCTCCTAATTCGGATTACTCCACTTTTCCTGCTTGTTCCCGTGTGTGGAGTGTTGAAATATTTGATGGTCGCCTGGTTGACAGCACGAACAATTTGGTCCGTCTGTGGGGTATATAATATGTGTGGTCCCTATAAATCCCCTCTCCCTTCGTCGTCCGCGGTCCAACTTGAATCCTTCCCAAATTATCCGGCCACTCTTTTCTGTCTCTCTCTCTTTCCTTTATAGCTTCGTACAACTTGACTTTGTGACTCTACTATCCAGGATCAACACACACACAAAATGCTCAACAAATTTTTGGCGCTGGCTATTGCATCGGCGGGATTGACGAATGCAGCGGCCGTGAGTAGTAGTTTGGAGTAGGTTTTCTCTGTAACTGTTTCCTTTCGCTATACTCCTAACCCAGAATCTATATCCTTATAGACCGCGCGTTCTTGTAACTGCCACATCGATAGTTGTATCCACAGCCGTCCAAACGTCCTTTGTCACCGTCCCAGGCTCCTCCACAACCTCCACTGCCGTAGTCATTTCTACTTCCACTCAGACCCCTTCTTCTTCCGATTCTGCCTCTGCTAGCGAAACAACAACAGAAATTACTACCTCCTCAACTACTTCTTCCTCATCCTCTGAATCTTCCTTATCCAGCTCCGTCTCTGATTCGAGTTCCTCCTCATCTTCAGCTCAGAGTCCAAGCACGACCATCTCATTCGCCACTTCCTCTACTGCTCCCGCGACTACGCTGTCCTTCGGTTCAAGTAGTCCAACCTCATTCGTCACCGTTACGTCTACATCATCCAATTCTTCTTCTCCATCATCTTCGTCCAACCCATCCGCTATCGGGGGTTCATCTAGTAATAGCGCCAGAAGGGTGTACGTAAACTCTGCTATCCTTACTTTGATAGGGAGTGCACTCCTAGGTGCGGTGATGTGATGGATTTCTAAAGCAAATGAACGATTCCTTCGGAGCGTGTTGTATTTGTGTTTTATCTTATGGACGGCGACGATTGCTGGACGATTCCGTCTTGAGGACTGGAGATCGACTTGGTTGCGTTTAGGAAAAGAGAATAGTGGAGGGGGCAGCAGGGGATATTGTCGATTCGAAGTCGGCCGTCTGTCACTTTTTTTCGTTTCGTCACGTACGTAGTTGCATGGATCACAGGTTAAGGAAGGATATACATAAATATACTAAACTTCAAACATGTGAAATCAAATATTTCGTTATTTTCTAATTGTATATTGCGCCTGAGTACCAGTACGAGAGTATATCTCTCATGTACTTCGCGTATTTTATGCACGAGTCTCGTTCGTTTTCTCAACTCTATATCGCATTCAGGATAAGTATACGTATTCATTTTGCAGGTTATCGAGAAAGATGAAATCCATCTCCAATTCCTACATTCGAACCGTTGGACGTCGGACTACATCCTCTGGATACAGGCATAATGCGACTGCTGATCTCCATTTAGAATTAAAAGTCATGATCAAGATATGGAGTATCTGCAGCTAGGAATAAATAATGGGCGTATGGTCTAGAGGTATGATACCTGCTTTGGGTAACGAACTACGTCTATAGACGGAAACTCAATTGCAGGGGGTCTTCGGTTTGAATCCGGATTCGCCCCATTCAGACCTTCTTTGTCGCTTTTTTGGTTTTTTTTTTTTTTGTTTTGACTCCGTTGTTACTCCGTTGGACCATTTACTTAAATTTATTATGCGCAGTTTAACCATCTGCTGTTAGGAGACGGGTTTACAAATTGAAGAGCTGGCGAGCATCTCTGGTCATCCTGTAGGCCATCGAGTTTTGGATAGCCAGGAATGATTAATGGTAATGAGCAGTGAGGATAACTTTCAACCGGCTCTGCTTACTCTATTCGAGGGGGCATGAGCCATCTTTATCATGATTATGAATCCAACTTGTGAGTAGTTTTCTGTAAACAATTTCAAACACTGATTAGAGGGTGTATGATCACTATTAGAGGTATGATACCTGCTTTGTGTTGGAAGAAATTTGGAGCCTAAGGATATTGTTGAACAATTACCCTCGCAGTAGTGGCGGAAGGCTAAACAGATGAGTATCTACGTACATACAACCTGGCTTATATAGGCAAATATCTTATCTATACGGCTGAGTATATCACTGAAATTGTAAGTGAATATCAATCCCTGAAACCAAAGGAAGCAAAATGAAACATCCGCGAGCAGTGCCGATTACAAATCACTCTCGGGATCTCCAATACTTTGGGTGTATTGGAATTTGGTCGCAAACTTGGCTTTGCAAGGGGTCTTTGGATTATTATTGGCCCCATGATAAGGCAATTTTTCTCCTTCATAGAAAAAAAAAACCGTAAGAGCATCTACCGGGATTGACTGTTTGGTTTAGGACTGCCTATCTGGTACCTACCACCAGGTGGACACCGTGGAACTTGCGAACAAGATGGCCAAGGTCATAAGGGTGGTGGGCGGGAGTAAGGGACCAACCGTCCCAGGCCACAGATACATCCATCTTCCCTCACCAGTTAAAATCAGGGAAACCCTCGGCAATAAGACTATGTAACAGTAATCTACCATGCTTAGCGAGAAGTTTTCGGATAAACGTGAAGCTTAAAGTTTAAGGTTGAAGCTTGATTCAACAAATTAGTGAGTTACATACCTCTCAATCACACATCTGAGTACCTAACTGAACAAAGTACAAAAATATTCCAGATATTCTGTTTTTATCCATTCGCATGCAATCTCGCTATTGGTCCAGCCATTCTTGAACGCTATAAATCTGTGTTTTCTCCTTCAATGGAATGCATAGGCTGCAAATAATAAGTACTCACGTTTTATTTACTACATTGTTCTTTGTCTTGCATAAATATTCTGTCCCTTGAACATCATCATTGGACATAGGGGCATTTCATTGGCACTTGAGACGGCCTCATGCACCTGCGATGTGTTCCTTGGAAAGGCTGCCTCTTGACGCAGCAGTCCCATCCATCGACTACACATCCTTTCCTTGATGCCAGTGTCATGTATCACCTTTTTTATAAGCTAGAACCAATCATCCACTGCCGCACTGAGATTCAGGGACTGAGCGCATTGTAGGTCAAGCGGTTTCTTCCAGTGCATCAATACTTTGTGATTCCTTTTGAGAAACTCGTATATCTATGTACAACCAACTTCAAGTTCTTCCTATGAAGATCATGTTTTTTCTGTAAAATGGCATTCAGTAGGATTTGATCTGAGAATGTGTCAAAGGTAAACCATATTCTGCCAGCATTTGTTCCTCTACAGGTGAGAGTTTCTGCTTTGTTGCATTGAATTTTTGAATTGTTTGATATCCCTGCACCCCACAACTGATTGCCATTTTATTGACACGATATTCCAATGCAATGTCACAAAGTGATTTTTGATCATCTTTTGGGAGAATTTTCTGGCTCTTGTAGATTGCTATTGCGTCCTACAGCCTTCTGGATTTATTTTTGCACTCTATCTGTGCCTTGAGCTCATTTGACCGAGCTTTACTGACCATTTCATAGTGATGTGCCGGCTGGGGCTCGGCTCAAAAGCTCCGACTACGGCTCAAGTAACCCCGGCCAGGGCTCACCGAAATCTTGAGCCGGGCCCTCATAGACGGCCAGGGCCCGGCTGGGGTCCGGCTCAGGCTCAGGCCCCGGCCTTGGTCCACTATATGAATTTAGATAATATCAGTGAATTTATTAAATATTATGCATCATATCTCTTGTGCTACTGCATTACGATGAGCTTCCATGCAAGAAAGAAATACAAAAATTTCGGGCACAGAGACTCAAATGTTAGTGTCAAGGTATGACTAATCATGTTAGAGTGGGCTTTCCTCATTCACAAATTACATAGAAAAATAGAGGAACTGTGTAAATAAACGGAGAAATACAATGCATGTACGTCCCATATCTTCGAATAATATTATTGGATATCATGGGCAGGTTCCGTTAGTATTTTGAGACTCTGGCAAGCCCCGGCCCAAGGCCCCGGCTGCCGGCTTATCAAAATTCTGAGCCGGGCCCTGAGCCCCCCTTGGGCCGGCATAGGGCTGGGGCCCGGCTTACCGGCACATCACTGACCATTTCTGAGGGCAGGAATTTTTTGGAGAGTAAGCTAAGTTGACTTGCTTACTGCGCCTCGGGCTTAAGCTCAATATCACGCAGGATTGCTCTGCAGATGTGCCTCAAGCAATTATTGTAATTTGTAGAGAAATAGCAGTTTTATAATCTGGGACCCAAATTTCCTATGTTCTGGGCTGATTTAACAGAGCTCGCTATTAAGCCAAAAGTATTGTATCAAAAAAAAAAAAAGGAAAAAAAAAAGAAAATGTAAAAGTGACCTGTATATTGTCTATCTCTTCAATCCGAGTCACAACTTTCACCTCGAGACTTTTACAGGGCATGGATCTTATGTCTACCATTGATTTTAAATGCTTGACTTGAAAGGAAATAGCCATATCTGAAGGACTCCCAGATCACTGTATAGTTTATAAATGATCTGCGACTGGGGCTCCTGAGTCCTCATGGTGCACCTCGTTTGAACCTCAATATCTGAGGCACCATTTTCAAGATAGTCATGTTTTACCAGTGCGGGATCTAGACCACGGGTTTTGAAAGGATTCTCGACAAAGCTTGTAAAACCGAAACCCCATGTTCAGTGGGTTCAGTATTATTTTCCCTATTAAGAACTCTACAACAAATTATACACCTGCCAAACACCAGCAATCTTAAGATTCATTATGTGAGTTCTCACTCATGATAATTGATACTAGTCGGAATTCTGGTAGATCACTTTGGGTTTCTAGTTGCATCGTTGTTCTATGCGAAGCAAACAACCCTAAATCTGCTGCCCTATGAAGGTTAAACATAAGGCGCGACATCAATGTGACAGACATGCTGCAAAGAATGGATGTTTAAAAGGTTCAAATACTCATATCAATAAAGGGAAATAATACCTGCTCGCAAACCCAATCAGTACACTCCGTGCATATGGCTAGGGTATGAATAAAGCTTAATTATTGCAGCTTTTTCTGAGAACTATGCTAGACATACCGAAGGATACTATATAAGCCGTGGGTTAGATCTGAGAGGCCATGATTTATATTAACACTCACATAGAATGTTGAGATATTGATCTGTAGATGGATATGATTATGAGAACTGTATTTTGGAGAAAGGAAAGTAATTCAGAACTAACTGCATTCGCGAAAGCCATCACACTGTGAATGAAAAGGGAGTGAACAAATTTCTAAATTCTTTCAATTCTTCGGCAGCTCACCCAAAGTACCATGATCCTATAGGGAAGCCAGATGTTAAACATGATCCAGAAAGGAGGGCAGCTATCCTTACCATCGCGAATAATAATATCAATCAATGGTATCCTAAGTGACCGGAGCTCACGATGGGTCTTGTATGCTTTCAGCACTGTCATCACAAAAAGCATAAAGTCGTACAAAAACAAAGCCTCCCAAGCTGCTGCAATTTCTATGGAGCAAGTTGGCATGGGATGAGACTCCAAAAGTTCATTGGCAAGACGTACGGACAGATCTGTATTGCAATGAGAAACTTTCTACAAGAGGATGACCGTATGCCAATACATACGTCATGAATGACAATGCTGTCTCACAACCTACTGTGTCAAACTTGTTGGACATTGTTTTTGAATGGCTAAAGAACGTCGCAAACTATAATGGACTCAGAGGAAAGCAACTTCAGATGAACAAAAAGAGGACTGACAAGTGATAACACTATCAGTATACAGCCAGTGGAAAGCATAACAACTAGTATACGCGTACTGCGATCATACAAAACATATATGCGGATGGAAAGGAGCGCTGGAATGCATCGAACAAGGTCATTTTAATTCTTGAAACTGATAAAACGAATCTTACTGCAGACTACAATGGACGCCACTGTGAGCAGGAGTTCCCGGAAGGTATGCAATGCCCCCAAACAACTAACACAACTGTTGAACTTTTAACGGAGAAATTTGACAATACCATACCTCTGTCAATTGGAAGGTTAGGCAAAGCCTGGCAATCTGGATTGAAAAGGAAAAACTAACTAATTTAGTGGCAGGGGTGGACAGCCTCAATATAACGTAGACACCGTTTCCCAGCACCGACAAGTAGCGATTGAGGAAGAAAAGCACTGTGCCTATGCCCACAGGGCGTTTCCAGAAATACTGAACCTCATCGGCTACCATAACATGGTTCAGACTATTATTGTTGATCGATCAGCGCGAAAACAGCCGCATACAAAGTGTAAGGAGATGGTCCCAGTATAAGAACACTTAAAAAGTCAGCTTGAGCCTTGAAGTCAATCTACGCTGCAGGTAGAAGAGCATACCTATTGAGAATAGATAGAGATAATTCTGTATCCACCTATATTTAAGTTAGAGCTTGTACTTATGTTGATTCTCAAGGACGCACGCTTGCTCTGCTGCTGATACCTGTTGAGCATATGTCGATTCCATAGCCTGCTAGAGTCTGGGTTGTAAAAGGGGATGTGCCGAGAGTCTGAGATAATTCTGTATCCACTTACATTATCTATTGAAGCTTGTACTTTATTGATTCTCAAGGGCATACACTTGCTCTGCTGCTGAAACTCTGAGCATA